GTCTTTTATACAGGTAACGAACACTGAGATTAGGAGCACTCCCTTTAAGAGTGTGCTCCTAATCTCAGTGTTACCTGTATAAAAACACCTGTTCACAGAAGCAATTAATCAATCAGATTCCAAACTCTCCACCATGGCCAAGACCAAAGAGCTCTCTAATGATGTCAGGGACAAGATTGTAGACCTACACAAGGCTGGAATGGGCTACAAGATCATCGCCAAGCAGCTTGGTGAGAAGGTGACAACAGTTGGTGCGATTATTCGCAAATGGAAGAAACACAAAAGAACTGTCAATCTCCCTCGGCCTGGGGCTCCATGCAAGATCTCACCTCGTGGAGTTGCAATGATCATGAGAACGGTGAGGAATTAGCCCAGAACTACACGGGAGGATCTTGTCAATGATCTCAAGGCAGCTGGGACCATAGTCACCAAGAAAACAGTTGGTAACACACTACGCCGTGAAGGACTGAAATCCTGCAGTGCCCGCAAGGTCCCCCTGCTCAAGAAAGCACGTATATATGAACATCTGAATGATTCAGAGGACAACTGGGTGAAAGTGTTGTGGTCAGATGAGACGAAAATGGAGCTCTTTGGCATCAACTCAACTCGCCGTGTTTGGAGGAGGAGGAATGCTGCCTATGACCCCAAAAACACCATCCCCACCGTCAAACATGAAGGTGGAAACATGCTTTAGGGGTGTTTTTCTGCTAAGGGGACAGGACAACTTCACCGCATCAAAGGGACGATGGACGGGGCCATGTACCGTCAAATCTTTGGTGAGAACCTCCTTCTCCTCAGCCAGGGCATTGAAAATGGGTCGTGGATGGGTATTCCAGCATGACAATGACCCAAAACACACGGCCAAGGCAACAAAAGAGTGGCTCAAGAAGAAGCACATTAAGGTCCTGGAGTGGCCTAGCCAGTCTCCAGACCTTAATCCCATAGAAAATCTGTGGAGGGAGCTGAAGGTTCGAGTTGCCAAACGTCAGCCTCGAAACCTTAATGACTTGGAGAAGATCTGCAAAGAGGAGTGGGACAAAATCCCTCCTGAGATGTGTGCAAATCTGGTGGCCAACTACAAGAAAGTCTGACCTCTGTGATTGCCAACAAGGGTTTTGCCACCAAGTACTAAGTCATGTTTTGCAGAGGGGTCAAATACTTATTTCCCTCATTAAAATGCAAATCAATTTCTAACATTTTTGACATGCGTTTTTTCTGGATTTTGTTGTTGTTATTCTGTCTCTCACTGTTCAAATAAACCTACTATTAAAATTATAGACTGGTCATTTCTATGTTAGTGGGCAAACGTACAAAATCAGCAGGGGATCAAATACTTTTTTCCCTCACTGTAGAGAGAGAGACACACACAGAGACCTAACCTAGAGAGACAGAGAGAGAGACACACGTAGAGAGAGAGACAGACGTAGAGAGAGACACACACGTAGAGAGAGAGGCCCACACAGAGGCACAACACGGAGACACACAGACAGAGAGAGACACACACAGAGACAACCCCCACACAGAGAGAGAAACACACATCGGGACACATACAGAGAGAGGCACACACAGAAAGACACACAAACAGAGAGACACACACATAGAGAGAGACACACATACAGAGAGACAACAACATGTTACGTATGCTGATGATCTGGTAATGGATACTCAATGTGATAGAGTTAGGGACTCTTGTTCTGTACCTGGAGAATTTCATCATGAGGAGGAGCTTTACTTATGTTTAAAAAAATGAAGAACCTGCCTGGGTATTTCATGTTATCCAACATTCCGCCTGCTCGCCTCTTAATGAGTAATCAGGCAGTTATACAGGTGGTGGAGGAGCTCCCATACTTGGTCAATGTGTTCACGACCAGCTCTGGTTTGGTAGCTAAAGTCTCAATTCAAATTAGTCGAGCAGCATTCTTTAATAAGACTGTCTAACATGGTGAGGAAGCTGCCTGGACCGTTGCTACATACAAATCACTGAATCTTCTGGCCCACAGCGTTGACCCCTTTCTCTGTGGATTTTAAATATGGACTCCTTTAAAGAACCATTTGTGCTGCCTTAAACAATAAGGCTAGCCTGCCTATGATTCATCCAGTATTGAGCCAGACTTTATGGTATTGGAAGCTTACAAATCCCTGAGATATCCATACAGAATATAGTCAGTGAGCTTCTTTGGCAGGTGATGCTTCATTCGTTGGTCATAAATCCAGCATGCTCCGAAACTGCATGCTCAACCAGCGTAAGTTAGTTCAGATATGAGGGACTAAACGGGTATGGCATGGGCTAGAGAAGAGATCGGAAGATGTGGAGGTGATCGGACTTGCCGGTGACCTGGTACCAGGAGTGTGAATATCGGCCTCTGTGGAGGAGGCCCATGAAGGATGCTGCAGGGTAGTTTGAGGCATTCGTCCTTCAACAACGAGGTCAGAGGAGTGACACATCAATGGGTGGAGTGCTGGGTGGCTAAAATGCAGCAAGTTGGGATAGTGGGTAGCACCTGTGGTGCATCTGCCAGTCATCCCTTGACACCTGGATCATTTCCATGACCTACTGGCAAGCCCTCCATACTTACATGACCTCAATTCGCACCTATCATGGCATGACTACTGTGATGATGTTACTAGCAATTAGTGGTGAATGGTAGCTGTTTTCTTTATATTATCTGTTAATGATCCATGTGAAACATATCTGTATGTAAAACGCTACACCATAGAGCTCAATGTATCTCCGACCACAGTACACACAATTCGTGACCTGATCTCATCTTTGAAGGACAAGATCTCTGACATGCAATATCCCGACGTCTACAAACTAAGCTGTACCTGCGGCAGAAGTTACATTGGGAAAACCAAACGACATGTCATGGACCGTGTTCATGAACGCAAGGCAGACCTGAAACACGGCAGGACCAATACTTCTGCCGTAGATGACCATTACTTTAATATGGCTGGCTCACATGAAATATATTTCTCTAAAACGATGGTACTTTGCAAGCCGACTGGCTATCAACAAAGATTCGTTCACGAAGCCATCCATATATACAGACACAAAGACAATTTCAACCGAGATGACGTTTTTATACTCAGCAATCATTGGAAAGATGTCATCAACCACTTTGGGTCATGATTTGAATTTGTGTTTCTTTGTCAACCTCTACCGTCAACAGTGTGGATGGGCGTTGCGATGTGCAATTCCCCCCCTCCCATCTCTACCCCCCCCCATCTCTGCTCCACCCTCTCTCTCTCCCGCTGTCTCTGCCCCATTCTTTCCCCCCCCCCCCCCCATTTTCTGATGGGTGTACCAAGGTGCAATTCCTCTCCCCTCCCATCTCTACCCCTCTACCCCCCCCCCTATCTCTGCCCCACCCCCTCTCTCTCCCCCTGTCTCTCTCGCAGCCCTTTCCCCCGCCTACTCTGGAGTGTGTATCAGCTCTGTTATCCCCATTCCTATCTCTGCCCCACCCCCTCTCTCGAGCAGCCCTTTCCCCCACCCACTCACTGGAGTGTGTATCACCATTCCTTTCAGCTCTGTTATCCCACCCACCCCCTCTCTCCCCCTGTCTCTCTCGCGGCCGGTTTCCTCACCCACTCTCTCTGGAGCCCTTATAAGAAGACACATTTGGAAGCTTGCCCCCTTTTTTCTATCCACCTGAAGAAGACCGCTTGTGTTGCGATCAAAACGTCGTGTTTTTTTTTCTTTTAATTTAGATTTTTGTTTTCTATCTACGTAACTTTACCGAAAGAACCAAAAATATGTAAGAGTGTATCTACATGGGGAGCGGAGGTACATTTGTTCGCCCACTACATTATGGAGCCAATATTCAGAGTTGTATTATTGTTGACAGCAGATATGATTGACAAGTGATAGCTTAACTTATTGTAGGCCTCTGCTGGGTTGATTGTTTCTGGGTGAAGTACTTGGTGAAGAGTATAAGCATCTGTACTGAGCAGATGAAGGCAACCAGCCATGGTTGTAGCCACAACACCACCTTCACCGTTCCAGTGCGTGAGTGTAAAGTTTTTATTTGCTTTAAAGTATATTTACCAGATTAAGCACCTAGGTTTAATCAAAGCAATAGGGTTTTTTTATTTCACATGTAAAGAAACTCCTTGGAGACATCCATTTTCAGGGGAGTAGAGCTATATTTCTCCAAACGTATATACAGCCCCAATAGTTTCTACCAAGTTGATAGCTGAACAATCAACCCCGATGGTTTCCACAGTCAGCCCCAATGTCATCCACCTCTGGTCGTAAATTAGTCCCCGAGTAAGCGCACCGATCACGGGCCTCGCTCCCCCTTATATACTTGCTCGGCCCCACCCCTGTAGGACAGTGCCCCCCCGCCCCACTTTACTATAACATGTATGTCCTTAATTAAATAATTCTTCCAGTGCCTTCCGGTCACCTGTTTCCAATCATCACAACACACGCCTTCTAGAACCTTCTCTTGTACAGTCCCCGACACATGGAACGTTTCATAAGCGTGGAAAAACAACACATAAAGCTGAAATTTCATCTGTCCATCCGAACATTCAAGCAAATCTGAGCCTGGCTTCGGACTTCCAAGTTGCAATTGAACATTAATTTGTCCATTTTATAATATTTCTGCTCAATGCGAATAGTTTTATTTTTAACACCATTTGCTATTTTTATCAGACTTTTGCAATAGTTAACATTTCTTCAATAGCCAGATACAACCGACATTCTGTACGTAGAGTTATGGGTTATCATTGATATTAAATATACTAGGGCCTCCAGGCATTATACTGACCACTTGCCTGCTATGCCAGTCCAAGAGCTGATCGTCAATAGTAGCAAGTGCCTTAAAACAGCTTGTGTGATGAATTGGGGGTGATTTTTTTTATTTCTCGTTAATGTTTGAGTGTTCTTGTCTTTGTAATATGTGAATATCACGTGTGACTGTGTATATATATATGCATTTCTATGCTTCTATGCTTACATACATTGGGTGGATCTTACTGTTTTCTGTCTGCAGCTGCCAGTTCCTCTGCCACGTTGCTGTACAGAATTGGTCAGATGGAGCGAAGACAATCAGCGGGAGAGAAACCCTTCAAGTGCACTGTGTGTGGGAAGGCATTTGCAATGTCATCACATCTTAAAACACACCAGAGAATACACACAGGAGAAACACCCTTCAAGTGCACTGTGTGTGGGAAGGCCTTTGTACAGTCATCACATCTTAAAACACACCAGAGAATACACACAAGAGAAACACCCTTGAAGTTCATTGTGTGTGGGGAGGCATTTGCCCAGTCATCAAATCTTGAAACACACCATAAAATACACACAGGAGAAACACCCTTCAAGTGCACTGTGTGTGGGAAGGCGTTTGCACAGTCATCACTTCTTAAAAGACACCAGAGAATATACACAGGAGAAACACCCTTCAAGTGCACTGTGTGTGGGAAGGCGTTTACACATTCATCATGTCTTGAAAGACACCATAGAAAACACACAGGAGAAAAACCCTTCAATTGCACTTTGTGTGGAAAGGCATTTGCACAGTCATCACATCTTAAAATTCACCAGAGAAGTCACACAGGAGATATACCCTTCAAGTGCACTGTGTGTGGGAAGGCGTTTGCACATTCATCACATCTTAATAGACACCAGAGAATACACACAGGAGAAACACCCTTCAATTGCACTGTGTGTGGCAAGGCATTTGCACAGGTAGGGAATCTTAAAAGACACAAGAGAACACACACAGGAGAGAAACCATTCAAGTGTACTGTGTGTAAGAAGGAATTTTCACGGTCATCATATCTTAAAAAACATCAGCGAACAAACACAGGAGACACACCTTTAAAGTGCACTGTGTATGGGAAGGGTTTTAGACAGTTAGGGGATCAAAACAAGCATCAAACCATTCATCAGGAAATTAATCTGAAATCGGCTTGTGAAAGTCAAAGTGCTGCAATGAGTCCATCCCTCATGAAACAAGAAACAGAAAAACATTTGAGATATGAAACGTGGCCAGGAGTGAAGGCGAAATGTCAAGAAGTTAAAATAAACTTGGAATCAGTGAAGGTGAAGAGCGAAGAAGTAATGGTAAAAAGTGAAGTGATAGTGAAGTGTGAGGTAGAAGATTCAACTCCAAAATCTGACCTTCACGTCGATGGAGGCAGCATGAAGCTGGAGGAGACTGTGGATGCTGAGGCAGAGCGAGGCAACTCCCAGCAATTTGTGGATGTGGAGGTGTGGGTGGATTTTTTAGGCAATACTGAGTCAAATGGAGACCAAGTAGATGTATATCATTGATCTTAGGATAAAGAAGTTCCATTTAATTCACAGGCCTTTCCCATAAGAGTTTTTTTTGGATTAGATCGCATTCTCTTTTTTCTTCTTTCCTTTCTTTTCTTTTTTATACGTAAAAGTCTCCGCGCACGCTTGCAGGGGATTTGGCTCTCGGACGGGGTTTAAGACCGAAAAAATTTGCCAGCCGGCACGCCCTAAGCCCTGCGGTGGGAATAGACTATTCCGTTTTCACGTCCGTAAATTTTAAAGTCGTTTTTTTAACGATTTAGTGGCATTCTTATTTAAATTATGTTCTTGTAATAAGAGTGCGCCACCTACAGGACGATCGGGTGGTTATTGCAGATACGTGTTATGCTGTCTCACATCCAATGAGTGAGAGGGATTCCATCTGGGTGAAAGGTAAATGGGCGGAGCTAGCGGGAAGCCTGGAGAGCCCTCTGGAAGGTTCCGAGAGGGGCGTGGCTAGAGACGGGGCTTAGCCCGCCGAGAGGGATATAAGCCGAAGCAACAGAGGACTCTGGGTCGTCGGTGTGAAGAGCCTGGGTCTGAACGCCGTCACCGCCTGCGCTCCCACCATCAGCCACGTGGCGGGCTCCACCATCAGAGCCTCTCCTCTCTCCGACACGCAGTCAGCCAGCAGCGGGGAGGAGAGAGCAGCAGGCAGCGATAGAGAGAGACGCATGCTGTACTGCAACTTAAGAATAAATAATACAACTGAAGTGAACCCTTGTCGGAGACGCTTATTACATACTTATTGCGCGACATCGACCATACCAACTGACGACAATTGTCTGGTGGGGCGGACCCTGCCAAGTGATGCGTGTTCGGTCGAGCTCACGGGGGACATTTTATTTGACGCGTTTAACATGCAATAAATATTCACAACGCTGCCGATTTTTCTTCACAGTCTCATGTACTCTTCACCCCCCCCCCCCCCCCAACACGATGTGTGCAGTTACTGCTATAAAGTCCTTGGATAATAATATTGTAATAAGAGCCTATGTCGGATTCACGTGGTGATCGGCTTTGCCGGTCTCGCTTTACAGCCAATGGGGGGAGAGCCTGGGAGCATGGCCTCGGCATGATCACAGGATGTCAGCTAGGTGATTGGTTTTGCTGGTCTTGGCCTCAGCCAATGGGAAGACAAGTCAGGGGCGTGGTCCCGGGAGTTGATGGGGAATCTGGAACATTCGGCGCAGGCTATTGAGGATTGGCTGGAGTGTACCACGTGACCCAGGCGTTAAATAAGGGGAGAGAGGAGAGACACGTGGTCAGACACGGAGAGAAGAGAGAAAGGGGCCACGCGCGAGTGGGGCTCCGGGTGCCACGTGGCAGTGTGTCTCTGGTGGCTGTCTGCCCGCTTCCCGTTGCCTGCCAGCAATGGGGAGTGTTTGTGAACTGCAAGAAGTGAAATAAAAGGACCGATTCCACAAGCCGTCTCCAGCGTGTTATTACAATATTATTAAAGCGCTTACATAGTATTATTATGGCTCGGGCGGGGTAAAGGCCCAGCCCGCAGCCTGGCAATGTCTCACCTCCTCCGGCTTGCCAATCTAGGCGAGGCCGCGGACTCTGCACAGGACTAGGCATCAACACGCTAATGTAAAGTACAGTTTTATTGAATCTTTCGCTAACAACTCAAGTTTTTGTTTACTATTCTTAAACAAATAAGTTTACAAATATTACAATCATAATGTTTGTGCAGAAAACTACATTTTAATTCTTAGGTTGCTAAATATTTCGTTTGGTGTGCTTTTATGATGCTGCGATGCTCTACTGCCACTACACTATGAGACCTTTGCCAGTAACAAGATATAGTAATAGGTTTTTACCCTTTTACTTGGCAATAAAATTGACACCTTTATACAATGGATCATGTTTGCATTAACCACAACATTTGCGGTCAAAATGCAAACAAAAAGACAACTCTGATAATGTATGCACTGTCCTTGAAATTGATTGGTCCACACCCGAGACAGCTTTTCTTAGAGCCTAGACGCGCATGGTCTTGGACCAGATGATGCCAAAAGGCGCACAACTCAAAGACAACGCATCATCAGAGTATTGAGAGCTCGGGGTAAGCATTTACACTGAGACCTTTGCCAGTAGCAAGATATAGTAATAGGTTTTTACCCTTTTACCTGGCAACAAAATTACACCCTTATACGCGTTTAACATGGAATAAATATACACAACGCCGCAGGATATTTCTTCACAGTGTGATGTCCTCTTCACCCCCCCCCCCCCCCCCCCAACACGATTGTCCAGTTTTTACTACAGAGTCCCTACATAATATTACAGTGCTTAGATTGCATTATTGTTGCACGGGCGGAGGGGGGCGGTGTGGGGGGGTTGTGGGGGTAGCGGCCCAGCCCCCAGCCTGCCAACGTGCTACCTCCCCTGCCTCGGCAATGTAAACCAGGACGGTGGCTCTGCATGGGACTAGGCCTCACCACGCCTATGGTAAGTACACATTTCCTTCTTACGCTACAATCATGTACGTACAAAACTTGTTTTATTCATCACCATTTTGGTTGTGTGCTCACAACATACAATTTTTTCATAACTTTCCCATTACTTTCATCTTTATTATTCTGTCAACTCACGTTCAAATACACCTCTTTGTGCAAATATCACCTTACAATTATATTACTGATCTTCACTTACAACTTTCGTCACTGCAGGAATTCAGATTCTTTGTTTCGGTTCTGTCACGTAGCTACAAACATTTCAAGACATTTTGTTTTTGTCACTATGCCATACACCATATAAATCGCCTGACAAATATTTTCAGTTTATTACTTGCCCCTTACTTACATCTTCATTCTCTTGTGTGAACTCATGTTCAAATATATTTATTCGTGTCAACTCACGTTCTAATACACATACTTTATAGAAATATTACCTTCCTATTATTACATTACTTATCTTCACTTACAACTTTCATGACTGCAGGATTTCATTCTTTACCGCCCGGGTAAAACTACATGGCCGGGAGTCGGAGCCATTCTCTCAACACCTTCGGGTGCGACAGGGATGTCCTCTGGCTCCCATATTCTTTTACATCTATTTTAACCACGTACTTCGTGAAGCCTTCAATCTGCTACAGATACAATGGGAGGCTGATCGATGCCCGTGTGCGGTCAAGGGATGGCTCCCTATTGCTCAATCATGTTATGTATGCCCATAAACTGCTAATTGCTGCTCACTTAGAGGACGAATTGGAGGCAACAAGGTAGACGATAAATTCTTCCCTTGATCGGGAGCACCCTTGTCTAGGACATAGCTCTGGAGAAAGACCTCCGTGATGGCTGCAGCCGATTGGTTGGGGAGTGGCCAGGCCATCGTTCATTAAGTGATGTATTCTACCCCAACCAACAGATACTTGTTACCCCGGAAGGTGGTAGGAAATGGCCCAGAAATGTCCAGCACGACAAGTTCATTGACGCGGGACACTCGAATGGACTACAACGGCGGGCAGGACGATCTAGCGGGAGGTTTTCGGCGTGCGCACTGGGTGCAGCCTTGGAGTAAATCGGCTACATCTCTTGGCATGCCCAGCCAGAAGAAGTCCAGCTGGAGCATGGCAAGTACTTTATGTACTCCCAAATTGCAGGAGGCGCTCGTGAGCAGCCCACACCGCCTTTCCCTGTAGGCCTAGTGGGCACCACCAATTTGTGTTTTTGTGAGCAGCCGTCTCATCTCATCAGGAGGCCATCTCACACATTGAAGGAAACGGGACCCCCACAACCTCTATCCCCGCGAGATTCACCGGCGTGACAGCGCCATTTAAAAAAGGAAGCGTCTTCCACCTGAAGACGCCCCCAATCAGCCAAACTAAGGCCCAACAATGTGTCTTCCGTGACTGACGCGTCGGACACCCCAGGGGAATCGATCCCAGCATTGGCCGCAGCAGCGAGGGGCGGAGGCGAGACATCAACTGGTAGCCTGCAACGCCCCAAACCGAGGAAGCTTGCGCACCTCCCAGCAGTCGGCAATCTCAACAATGCGTCAGCGTTGGCATGTCAGACACCCTTACGATAGGTAACCATGAACGTGTAGTCCTGAAGTACCTCGATCCAGCGAGATAGTTGACTGGATGGCTGGTCCGAACGCATGGTGACTGTGGCCAACAGTTCCCGACGGGTGACGCAATAGCGTTGTTCCACAGGGGACAACACTCCGCTTCCATAGGCGACAACATGCTCAACACCGTCGACGACCTGGGACAACACCCCTCCGATGCCGGTGTTGCTGGTGTCCGTGCCCAGGACGAACGGAATGGAAAAATTGGGGTAACACAACGGAGGGGCATTGACCAGGGCGTGATGAAGGGAGTCAAATGCGGTCTGCTCCACCTCCCCCCAACGGAATTTGGCACTCTTTGCCATCAGTGCATAGATGAGTTTTGTGATGGACGCAAATCCTGCCACGAAATGCCGATATTAAGAGACAAACCCAATGAAACTTCGCACATCAGCGACCGAAGTGGGGGTCGGCCATGAGCGGACGCAACTCGTTTTTTCAGGGTCAGTGGCAATACCAGACTGGCTAACGATGTGGCCAAGGTAACAAACAGAGTCCCGCAGGAGATGGCAATTCTGCGGTTTGAATTTTAGATTCCCAGCCCACATCTTAACAAAAACGGCCTTCAATCGGCCAAGATGCTCGTTGAATGTAAGGCTGAACACGATAACATTGTCTAAATAGATCAGGCATGAATCCCACTGGAGCACAGTGAGGACCAGCTCCATCAGTCGCTGGAATGTCGCTGGGGCCAAGTGAAGACCCATGGGCAGCCGATTAAATTCAAAGAGGCCCTGTGGTGTGCGGAAAGCCATCTTAGGTTTCGATGCCTCGTCAAGGGGCAGTTGCCAAAATCTACGCAAAATCTGAGGCTACTGTCGAGCTTTTTGATGAGAACAATGGGAGCTCCCCATGGGCTGGTGAATGGGGAGATAATGTCTGCCACCAGCATGTAATCGACGGCCAACCTTACATGCTCCTTCTTGACAGGACTCAAACGGAATGGGTTTTGCCAGATGGGAGCGGCGTCCCCCGTGTCAATGTGGTGGCTTAGCAATTTAGTACACCCAATGTCAAATTTACCCTTACTAAAGACATCTGAAAAATCACACAACAGCGCATGAAATTTAACCCACTGGGGGTCAGTCAGGTTGCCACTAGCCGAGCAAAGCGAGTTAATCTACCGCTCGTCGAGGTCTTAATGCGATTTCGATCGAGCCACATCCCCTATGTGACCCTCCACGGAATCACCCAGGAGCGCCGGTGCCGCGTGAGCAAGCACAGTCCCCTGAGGGATGACAGTCGTTCGCAACCCCTCATTCAGAACTTGGATGAAGGATTCTCTGTCACCCGAAACGAGCGTCTGTGCACTGACCAGGTCCAAACCCCGTACCGCAGTGTTCGAAGGCCCCAACAGAACACTCCCTGCTATCGCATCCGAGTCAAGAGGTTTCTGATACTGAAGGGGAACCAACATTTGAGAACCTGGCGGGATGCGTACTGTTCGGGATGCCAACACCTAAATGGTAGCACAGGCCGTGCGCAATCGAGTGGGTGAAGGCAAGAAAGACATGCGTCAGCCGGAGGGCAGTTCAATACAACCTTTTGATCAAGAATTCAATAGGCATCTTGCCCAAGAAATATGTCCATAGCAGACACGGAATGGCGAGGGTCGAGGAAACTAAAATGGTACCTTCCAATTTGGCATCACCAATACAGATCTGGGCATCGATCCGACCAATTATGCCCAACAAACCCCCGTTAGCGGCAAAACACGTCACATCGACAGTCTGTAAGGAACAACATTTCCCGGGCAAGATATTATAGATGAGATCCGAGATTATGGTTGCCGACGCACCCGTATCAACCAACATCTGGACATCGACCCCCTCTATGGAACCCACAATGGCAGAGGACCCTGCAGCTGTGGCAACAACTCTATGGGCCAACTCGGACCACTGACCCGGTCTGAGCGCCTGATCGGCTCTACAACCCTCTGGCTCCCCATCGCCCGACGCATGGTGACCGTGCGTTGTGTGATGGTGTGTGCGAGTTGTGAGTGGGGGCCGAGAGTGTGTGGTGCTGCGACTCACCTGAGACCGTGGTGTCGAGGATCGCAATCCAGGGATGCGGCATCGAGGTGCTCGGCAGCCCGATGACACGTGTCCCCGTAGACCGCACCTGTAGCATGCGACGGACGCCATGTTTGGGCGTGGAGACGTCCGTCCCCGCTGGCGGAAGTCCCGCTGGAGTCGGCGATCATTGGCTGTCCAACCCCTGGCCGAAAATGACTGCTCTTCGGAACTGCAGGCATCAGCCGGTGCGGCACAGGCCGTGAGGCTGGTTTCCCGTTGGAGCAGCAGTTGCGCCTGAATGCATCTTGCAGCGCGTA